CTTATAACACCACGCACTAACCAACTGAGCTAACTGGCAAGCCGAATAGAGATATTTTGTGTAAAATGATCAGAATCTGGTGAACAGTTGATACAGTAATGAAGAAAGAGGCTTGAAGTTCCTCCCATGTTTCTGGTTTGGATGTCTGTGTAGATGGTTCCATTCACTTAGAGAGAGTCTGTGGGAGAAGCAGACTTAGATGGGAAGATTTTTGATTTTGAGTTGTGGCATGAATGGGGTCAGCAGGTGATTTCTTGCAGCAGTTGTACAGCCAGTTCTGGAGCTCAGGAAAGGGCTCTGGATTGAGAGAACCTGGGTGATAGAACCCTGTATTTGGATTAGAAATGCCAGAAAGAGTACATGGACCGAGGGAGAGATGAGAGACAGCCACAGTTGGCTCAGAGCCAGGGAGAGCAGCAAAGATGGGAGACTGAGAAGTGCTGCCAGATATGGGAAGGAAAACTGGAGTCATGTCAAGGAAGTTAACAGGGGATTCTTTCAACCCGAGTAAGGTAGTCAGCACAGTCACAGGGTGTAGAGAGCTCAAGTCAAAGGAGGATTCTAGAAATGCACACTGGGTTTGGCCCTAGGAGGTGACTGGTGTCCTGAGTGTGGGTGGTTCCCTTTGAATGGTCAGACAGGAGCCATATTGCTGGGGGTTGAGGAGTGGATGGGAGGTGAGAACATGAAACATCACTTGGCCCACTCTCAAAGAAGAGTAGCTGTGAAGTTGCTAGTCAGGTGAGAGTTTAGCAGATTTTTCTACAGAAGGGAAAGCACGAGTTGAGGGGGGGGCCGTTAAATCTGCAAGAGGAGGGGATGGACTCAAGTTGAAAGTGAGGGTTTGGGTTTAGCGGTGGGGTTTGAGGGAGGGGGCGCATCCACTTGGAATGGAGGGAAGATAGGTGCCCAGCTATTATGTTGGAGGGTGGGCTGAAAGATGAGCATGTCTGTGTGTAGGTGGCTCCTGTTTCCTTTGACGTAGGAAATGAGATTGCTGAGCATCTCATAACACACTCATTTGAAGGCAGAATATGTTATGGTCCAGTTGATCCTGGAAGCCTTGAATGTATAGTTGCCTCCGTTGGCATGGTTGTGTGATTTCTGCCAGCATTGAGAGGTCTCCAGGAGGGGTTTCATTGGCTGGGTCTGGCATTGGGAGGAAGGGCTGGGCACAAAGGACTGGAAAACAGGCATGAGTGACTGAAATTGTCTTCATTAGCTGGGAAGGAAGCCAGGCCAGAGGGTCTGATATACTGGGTGAAGATATGGGGGGCCAAGGGCTCAGTGACTCAGATGACATCAGAGAACTGGGCTTTCCTCCCCTGGGCATCTTCCACACACTGCCCAGAGGCAAGGCCGCCCCAGCTTCTCTCTTTTCTGTGCCCCCATAACTCTTCTTGCCCTGCCCCATCTAGTTCGCTCTCAGGACCCCGGACAGCGGCGGGTGCTGGACCGGGCAGCCCGGCAGCGCCGCATCAATAGGCAGCTCGAGGCCTTGGAGAATGACAACTTCCAGGACGACCCCCATGCTGGACTTCCTCAGCTCGGCAAGAGGCTGCCTCAGTTTGATGATGATGCAGACACCGGTGAGGCGGGTGGTGGGGAGAGGGAAGGACTTGGTGGGTGAGACAAGGCTGAAGGAAGGAGAAGAGTCTGTCCAGGTCAGGGCTATGGAAGGACATTGGGCTGGGAGGCAGATGGCCTGGGAGCTCCTTCTGCCTCTGCCAACGACTGGCTCCTGTGGCTGTGGGCAGCCACTCTCCCCTTTCTGTGCCTCAGTTTCCTCTCGTGTGTACAGTAAAGATGGAGTAGATTGGCACTGACAGAAAGCCTTAGATTTAGGGGGTATGGAGATGAACGTAGGCTGGGATTGGAGAGGGGGTGTGAAAGGAGAAGGCTGGTAGAGAGGGGCTGATTTAAAAGCCAGGTGGGTATGTGGGCAAGTTCTGGAGGTGTGGGTATCAGGAGTGATGAGCCAGAGAGAGGTGGTGTCTTTCTTGGCAAGTGTCAAATGACTAATTACACTTGACCCCTAGGAAAGAAAAAGAAGAAAACTCGAGGGGATCATTTTAAACTTCGCTTCCGAAAAAACTTCCAGGCCTTGCTGGAGGAGCAGGTGAGAGGGACCTGGCCTGGGAGGACCCCCCCAAGGAAGGCATGAGACTGTGGAGGTCCTGGTCCCTGGTGGGTGTTTGCCACTTGGGTGGACGGAGGAGTCCTGGAGCCTACCCCTCTTGTCTCTGCAGAACCTGAGTGTGGCTGAGGGCCCCAACTACTTGACAGCCTGTGCTGGCCCCCCCTCCCGTCCCCAGCGCCCTTTCTGTGCTGTCTGTGGCTTCCCCTCCCCATACACCTGTGTCAGCTGTGGTGCGCGGTACTGTACTGTGCGCTGTCTGGGCACCCACCAGGAGACCAGGTGAGCATGGGACCTCACCTGGTCCACGCCCACCCATTCATACTCCCACAGCCTCACCAGACCTCTCTACTCACCCTGGGCTTCCTCTTTGCAGGTGTCTGAAGTGGACCGTGTGAGCCTGGGCTTCCCTGGAGATGAAGTGTCTCCACCCGGCCTCCAAAAAGCCTCACCGAAAGGAGTGAGGCTCCCCCTAAAGTCGTTCACTCACTCACCAAAACTGAGTTTCACCTGCCAGGGAAGCTCAGTCTTACTTCCAGAGACTGTCTGGCAGGAGGTGGGCTGAGCCCGCAGAGTGCTGTAATAAAAGGCCTACTGCCAGGATCCTGCCTGTTTGGTTGTGGGGGGTTTGGGGATGAGTGTGATGGTCACCTGTCTCCTCCTCACTGCTCTGTCTCCCTTCCTCTCACCTACCATTCACCCCTTCTTTGTCCCTGATCCTAAGAGATTTTGTCCCTTTCTCCTGCCACCCCCACATCTCTGTCTTTCTTAGCTGCTCTTTATGTCTTGTTTTGGTTATTGATTTATTATTTGTTTTTGCTTTTTTTCCCCTCTGGTTCCTGTGAGTATTTTCAAAGTACAGCTAGGTTCCAGGGCTGAGTGATAGGAAGTGGCATGAGGGCTGGGGATTGGGGGCAGAATGAGCCAATCCCGTCTGTGTCACCTGGTACTTAACAAGGAAAGAGGTTGGGCCCTTGTCCTTGGTGCCACCAGTATGAGGGAGCAGCTGTCCTTAGGAAGCCCTGTTATTAGGGGCTGCGGTGTGGGAAATGATTAGCAACACAGAAAACCCAGGGTTTTCTGGGAAGCATGGTGTAGGGGCTCCTATTCTTAGTGGCCCTGGATGCTGTGGCTTTGGTGGTAGCAGAGCTTCTCACACCCACGTCTTGTCTAAGTGCATTGCACGCTTACACTTGTGAGCTCAGAGCTGCTGTGCCAAGGCCCCGCACCCCCTCGAGCACAAAGCAGAGCAGGCACTCAGCGACTGTTTGTTGAGCAAATGACCTGAATGAGGTATTAATGAGGTTCAGTGATGTCTGGTTAGGCACCTTCTTAGACTCTTCCCACTTTGGGGGACATTTTGGGGGCCGGCCCAAATGTTCCCAGTGTTCTCCTGAGGAATTGCTTTCCCTTTCTCTGAAGATTTTCTGTTGAGCAAGTGATGTTGGTGACAGCATCATGTTAGATGGTGGTGGTGACAGGGTTTAGAGTCTGGGTGTGATGGTTTTAAAAAATGGCTTTAAATTCTTTGACTATCCTTCCATCAAAAGGTGGGGTGTTTGTCCTTTCCCCTAGAATCTGGGCTGGCTTATGACCCCTTCATCCAGTAGAGAATGGCAGAAGTGAGACTATGCGACATTCAAGGCTAGGTCATAAAGGCAGTGCAGCTTCTGCATTGTGAATAGGATGTTTGCTTTTTGAGCCCTGAACCATCGTTTAGGGAATCCCACTATCCTGCAGCCACCATGCTGTGAGGAAGCCCAGGCTGCACAGAGAGGCCATGTACCTGTGCTCCCATTGACAGGACCAGCTGAACCAGCCTTTGAGTCATCACAGCCCAGGTTTTGGTCATGTGGGGAGGAGATGCCTCCAGATGACTCTAGCCATAGCACCAAGTCACCCTCAGTCAGTTGAGTCTTCCCAACTGTGTCCTCACACATCAAAAAGCCAGAGATACCATCTCTGTTATGCCTGTCTAAATTCCTGACCTTCAGAATCCATGTGCATAATAAAGTAGTTGGGCTTTGTCATTGAGTCCTGGGGTGGTTTGATAGGCAGCAGTCGTAACTGGGACACCAGGAGCCAGTTTGCTGGCTGCTCCTGCCTAGGCTTATTGTCTGTCCCAGGAAAGGAAACTCTCCGGGGTCCTAAACCTTCCCTCCTTCCATTTTTCTTTTCCTCTCCACCAACAAGTCCACTCAAGCAAGAAAGTAGAAGTAGAGAAGACTATTCTTGGCTGAGAAGCACCATCTGTGTTTCACTGTGATTTCCTGCATTGGGATTCCCGTCAGACTTGCACTGGGTCAGCACAATCTCTGGTTTATTTTCTAACTTCAGTGACTTAGTTTTATATCTTGTTATTAGAAAAAGAGTCACACAGGTTCTGTGTGGTGTAAGATTCCTCTCCTCACTGATGCACTCCACCTTCCCAGATGACCTTGAGAAGACAGAGCCAACCCCTTGGGCCTCCTGTTGCTCTGATCCTGATGTCATCCGTCAACATCCTGTAGGAAGCTGATCCTGGGGTCTCCTGACCCGCACTGAAAACCATAACTCCCCAAGGAAAGCCTTGAACAATTTTTGCCATTTCCTTAGTGAAAGGGGAGACTTGTTCCCCATCTTGGGGGACACCTGGTCTTTGAGAAATCTATTCTGTGCCAAAAGCTTCTAGAAACTATACTTAGTTTCAAGTGATGGGGCAGTACCACCCTTTCCTGGGGACACAGGAAGAAGAGGTTGGTGCCAGGGTCTGGAAGGTTAGGGACTAGGGGACTTACTCCTAAATACCTCAGTGATGGGCCGGCCCGTGGCTCACTCCGTGACCGGCCCCGAGGCCGCGAGCCCAGGGGTCCACCCCTCTCTGCTCCGGGCAGTGGGAAGGCGGATGGGGTCCACAAGCCAGAGTCCCTATACATAGGCGTTTTTGCCGTATTTGCCAAAGCTGTTGTCGCCTTCATTCGAGGGGGCCAGGGGCATCACGGATGCGGAAGCCTTGTAGGGGAGCCGGGCGCTGTGGGGAGAGGGGCCCGGGTCAGGGGGAGACGTGGCCCTCGCCCCCGAGCCGCCTTCTCCCACCCGCACCGTGCCCCGCGCTGCGCGCCCCTCCCTCACCCGGCGGCGGGGTCCTCGTCAGGGCGGCAGCAGCAGTTGGAGCAGAGGCAGATGCCGCCCAGGATGGACAGCAGGGAGGCGCTCCAGCCCAGGTAGAGGGCGGGACCCAGCTCGTACCTGCCGACAAGGGCGACACGGGGGGAGCGCGAGGTGAGGCCGAGCCCCACCGGAGCTCCCGAGGGCGGGGTTTCCTCACTCACTTGGTTCCGGGATACAAGGGGTCGAAGAAGTCCCGGGTGATGTTGAAGGCGTACCAGGAGATGGCCACCATCCCGCAGAGACCTGGGGGGCGGGAGGAGGACCGCACTAGCGCCTCTCGGGTCCCCGCGGCCCCAGCAGGGGGGAGGGCGGGCAGGGGCTACCCAGAGTCGGAAGTGGTGGGAGAAGGGCATCATGCCCAAGAGCAGCAATTTCATTCAATTCCTTTCTCTCGCTACTTACTTTCCTATTTTCTGGAGTCAGCTGTAAACTGTCTAGCATTCAGACACCACTCCAGCTAGACTCATGTCTAATGATATTTGCTGGTCATCATGTAACTTTACCTGCAGCTCTTAAGCATTTCTTAGTTATGAGCAATATGGATTTAAATCTTTTTTTTTTAAAGGCTAGTTTGTTTTTTAGTTGTTTACTTTTTGCAAGATGTCTCTATAATAATAGAACTTTGGCACTTTTGCTAAAGGAAGGGAATCCTTTGGTTTTCAAAGCTAACTGAGTTTTTTAAGCAAGCTCAGGTTCCAAGGAACCTACGGAAGGGACTTGGGAAAACATGAGATATAAATGGAGGTTTGGCATAAGGTTTGAATGATGAAGAGCAAAGGCTGATTCCAAAGTGCCCAATGGCACAGAGAATCTGCTAAGCAATTTACCAAGACAACTTCGTAATGCTTCCTTGGCTTTTTGTTTATAGAAGTATGCTAGAGAGATCTCAGAACAGTGACTGAAAAGCCTGTCTGATATTATATTATTATTATTCTTTTTTTGACAACAATAACAATCATGAGTTTTTTCCAACTCTAATAATGAGTTATGCTGAATATGAACTAAGATACAAAGGAAAAAATACAAAATGATACTGGTCAAGAAAAATCCCATTGGTCAAGATATGAAAAGCTAATGGGCTGCAATTATTCAGAAACCTAACCCTAAAGGAGATCTAATCATCTTCACCATGAAACAGATTGCCAAAAGTAAACAGTGAGTATGCTCTCGCTTCCCAGAAAGCCCCACGTGCCACCTCCTCTGGCAGGATATTGAAGGGAAGTAAAGGATGAAAGAGCACAACGGCGAGTCGTAGGCATCCTTACTGCACATGGTGTGTGTGTGTGTGTGTGTGAGCGCGCGAGTGCGCACACGCCCTAGCACTGTTCTCCCCACCAGGATGCACTCTTTGTAATGAAGCCGCTCACTCACCTCTGAAGTCCCTCCCACACCTGGCTCATGCCTGCTCATAGGGGGAGCTCAGGAATCTCTGCTGGTGGACGGACTCACAGCAGGGGATGTGGGGAGCACGGATAAGGGTGGGGTGAGCAGGGAGGAAGGGAAGAGCTGAGCAAGGGACAGCAGGTGTCAACGCAAAGGGGGAGGCAAGCGCCAGCAGTGGGGAGCTGGAGATGAGGACGAGAAGCCAGGGGTCTGCGGCCCAGGGCCACTCCCAACCCCCACTGCAGTGCGGGGCTCCACCCATCCCCTTCCTCCAATTACCTGCCAGTATGTGTTGAGCCCCTGCGGTGGCCGCCAGCTTGGCTTTCCTGGAGAGCATCAAGCCCCCAATATTCGTGCAGCGCAGCCCCAGCATGCTTAGAAAGAGGCCCAGGGAGCCCAGGAGGATGGCGGTGATCATGAGTGCCCGGCAGGCCTGAATATACCCTGGAGAGGTGGGGCACCGCCATCAGTCTTTTCCTTTCACCTCTTCTCTCCTCGACAGTCAGCCTCTGCTCAGGCACAGTTTTTTGCTCCTCTCTTGTCCCTAAAATTCCTCAAGTCCTCTCCTTCCCCTTCGGGCTCCATCCAGCCTACCTGGCTGAGCAGTCTCACCTCTCTCCTTGTGAATCTCAGCCCCTCCTGCCTGCTTCGCCTCCCTTGCAACTGGCATATGTGGCCTACACCCCGTTACAGGGTTTCTCCTCAGCACTACTGACACCTTGGGTCAAATAATTCTCTGATCTGGGGGACTGTCCTGTGCACTGTAGGATATTTAACAGCATCCTTGACCTCTACCTACTGGATTTGATAGCAATCCCTGCCTCCCCCAAGCTGTGACTTTCAAATTACAAAGTCACTCTATTAGATTTACTCATGTTCTGCTGTGCATTAGAGAAACCGCACCTGAGCACCCCATCCCCTTCCCCACATCTGATTCTTCTCCAAGTCCCAACTAGTGCCTAGCATGATACCAGACATCTTGAACTGAGTTTCCTCCTGGAGTAACTTGTAGGGGACAACAGTGGCCTACAGCAGACGGTTGAGGGCAATTTCTGATCTGGAAGGTGGGATACCTGGGCCCAGGGCTGATTCAAGTCAGTCTATCGCATAGCCTTTTGGTGCCTCAGTTTCCCCTTTCTCAAAGCTGAGGAAAGCTGCTGACTCCCTTTCTGGCCCCCTCCTCCCTTCTCTGTCTTTGATAGCTGCCAATCACTCCCAAGGACCTTGCACCCCTTTGCCGGGTGGGGCAGTACCATCAGTGCTGAAGGGAAAAGGCTGGGTCCCTGCCAGGAGGAGATGAAGTGGCCTGCAGTTGGGGGGCAGGGAGGAGGGACAAAGTTCTCAAGGAGCACGTTCTGACCCCCAGCCACTCCCTCTGGAGTTCCCACCCAACTCCAACACTCCAGGCAGCTCCGCTAGTGAAAGAAGAAGTCATTGAAGGGCCTGTAAGAGCATGGGCTGTGCTGCTGGGAGGCAGGGGGTGTACAGTTGGGAGATGATTAAATGATAGTCAGGGTCCCTCTCAGGACCACAACCAGCCATGGAGGAGTAAACCGGACCCTGAACTCAGACACAAAAGTCTGAATTCCAGCTCTATTGAAGGGCCTGTAAGAGCATAGGCTGTGCTGCTGGGAGGCAGGGGGTGTACAGTTGGGAGATGATTAAATGATAGTCAGGGTCCCTCTCAGGACCAGAACCAGCCATGGAGGAGTAAACCGGACCCTGAACTCAGACACAAAAGTCTGAATTCCAGCTCCCCCTCTACTCCCTGTGGGACTCTCAGCAGGCTGCTTAAACTTGCCAAGTTTTTCAGCTTCTGTAAAATGAGGTTAACACCCCCTGCCATCTCCAGCAGCAGGGTTAGTGTGGACATGAATGAAATGATGTAGGTAGGCATCCCAAGCACAGACCTGGCACCGGCTGACCCCCTCTGCCCTTTCCCCTCAATTGTGTGCCTGCACAGTCTTTTCCGCACACTCACGTCCTCTCAGGCCAAGAGCAGCAGTCCCAAGTGGGCCCCCCTTGGCTGGACAGCCTGACAGCAAGTTTCCTCTTCACACCACAGTGTGTTTGAGGGGGAGATGAGGTGGCCACCTCCAGTGTCCCTTCTGGTGGCTCAGCACTCTGGGCTTCTGGCCCAGATTGTACTCGGCTTTTACAGGGGTGTTTTGGCGGTTCTTGCCCTGCACAGAGTCCTGGAGAGATGGATGAAAACAGGAAGCCCCTGCAGCTGCCCCAGGAGATTCTGGGAATAGTGGGGACATAAGAGACCCACCCAGATCCCCTAACTGCTCAGAGCATCTTTGAGGTCCATCAGGGTGTTTGGTGGAGCCCCGCTTCACACCAGTGTTGGCCTCCCCTCCTTCCCCTACACCTGCACCTGCAGCATGGCACCTGGAAGAGCAAGATGGCGCCGAATGACCCAGTTTGGGTTGGGGAACAGCCCCACACAGGGTTCATGGTCATCAACTCCTGGTCTCTGGCATGGGGCAGACTGAAGGGAGACTCCCATAGGAGAATGAGGGGAGGGCTAGTCATATGGGGTTAGCAGGAAACAGGATGCTGTGGACACCAGAGAGGTGGTCTGCATCAAAAGAGCAGAGCTCTTTTTGTAGGCTACTGTCCTCTGAGAAGGACCTCAAAAACACAGTCCTGAGAACCCCAAACATGCATGCATATACACACACCACCTTTTTACAGGAGATGCTCAGACCTGTACTGGAGCCAAGGCTTTACAAGGGTCCTTTGGAATGCAGCATGACAACGAGACCAATGCCCCAGCCAGTGGAAGCCTGGGGAGGCTGTTGAGACTGAAGTGTATCAACCACCAGAATGCAAACAGGGGCCTCCTCACCCCACCAAACCCAGCAATCCCATCCCCAAATAAAATGCTAAAATGTATTGAGTGCATGTACAAAGGGGTGTTCCAAAAGTTCATGGAAAGATTCATATTATCATTTTTTTTTTCTTTTTGTCTTTTTTCGTGACCGGCAACGGGATCGCAACCCTCAGTGTCGCGCCTGCACTGCGCTCAACCAGTGAGCGGACCGGTCTCTATATGGGATCCGGACGCTCAGCGGGAGCACCGTTGCACTCCTAAGCACCGCACTCTACCAAGTGCGCCACCGGGCCGGCCCCATATTATCTTTTAATTACATTTTCCATGACTTTTGAAGTACCCTTGTATGTGCTATCATGTTAAGATAGTGCATATTTTAAACCACCTGTGAACTGTTATATTAGGATAATGTTTCATTAGGATACTAACATTATCCTAATCTTGCAGGTGGGCAGGATGAAGCTCATTTTATCACTTGCCTGAGGCACAGAGCAAGGGAAGGCAGGAGTTGCTCTGGCAGTCTGACTCTGGTGCCCGCACTTGTAAACACTAAGGGTGTCACACTAGGGAGACCTTGTCACACATGGCCCCCACTTCAGTTCCTGATAGGGGCCATCCCCAGCACTCCTGGATGCAGGAGCCAGGCCCTAAAGTTTGATTCCAGCCTCCCTGTATCCTTATGGCACTTGAGGCTTGACTAAAGACAGTAGCCAACCCCCCGCCCGGGTCTCTCCAACCTCCCCGCCTCCCTCTGCTCCCTGAAGCTCTCCTCACCCCGTACCAGAGAGGGCCAGCATGGATGGGAACTCCCAGCAGTTGTAGACTCCCATGGAGTCAGTAGCACAGCTAAACCAGAGGTTCTCGAAGATGGTGTTGGTGGTGATGACGTTCCCGTTCACGGTGGACACTCGCCAGTAGCCGTTTGACAGGGTCACCCCAAGCATCAGCAGCCCCACGGCTGCCATGAAGAAGCCAAAGGTCTCCACAGCCACTGACATGGTGGAATGCAGGCCCCTGAGGGGCTGGGGCCCCAGAGACGGGGAGGAGCAGAACCCCCAGAGAACTTGAAGGGGCTTTGGCTAAGGAGGGGTGCTGAGGCAGGCTGGGGAGGGAGGGAGGGACAGGGTGGAAGTCCAGCTGCGGCCTCTGCCTGCCTCTTCCTCAGGCTCAGGTCTGTCTGCTGGTTTCCACCTCCCTCCCTCTGGGTCTCTCTGCTTCCTGGCAGGTCGGAGGAATGAGGCAAGCACAATGTTGATGGAGGGAATAAACGAAACAGGCCAAAAGTCCACCTCCTCCCCCAGCCTCCTGGCTGCCCTGGACTCCCCGCCCCGAGGGTGGGGGGAGGACTTGCCTGGGAGTGACTAGCGGATACAGCCAAGGAGGGGCCCCCATGGGAGGCATCGGGAGCCAAGGGGAAATGTCTGTCTCTGACTCAGCTTTCATCGGGGGCCAGAGAATGGAATAAGAGGAACAAGGAGAAAAGGTGACTGAGAGACATGGGAGAGACAAGAGAGAGAGACAATGAACACCGACAGGACCACCGCAGCCCTCAATGGAGAGAAATCAGGGGAATGAGCCACCCCTTCTGGATGGTGAGAACAATCTAACACACCCAGAGACCAAGGGGTTGGGACATGTGAATCTCCAAGGAAGATTCAAATTGAATAAGGGGGTGGGTGGCTGGGAGAGACCAACAGCTCTGGAGTCCAACCAACCTGGATTTATAGCAGACTTCATTATTTACCAAAGTGACTTGGGCACGAATTTTTAGGTCCCTCCCCTTTCTTGGGGGTGAGGGGGTGGATAGCTGGCCAGTTTGGGGATCCAAACCCATGCCTTTGGTGTTATAAGGCTTCACTCTAACAAACTGCGCTAACCAGACACCCCTTTGAGCTTGTTTCTGCTTCTGTCAACTAGAGTTACTACTAGTTACATCACAGGTTGTGGTAAGAATTTGGGACTGCAGATCAAAGTTCCCTGCACGTGCTGATTGCTTGATACTTGGAGACGGTCCTGGGTCTGAGTGCTGCAGGGCTGAGCTGAAGCCACCAGGGAGTCACTTTCCTCCTGAACTCGAATTTCCCCCTCATTGAATTAATCTTTGAATCTCGGCATTTGGCTTGATCCTGCTGCCAAGGGCCTCGAGGGGGTAAATCACAGGTCCAGAACATGATTCTGTGGCTAATCTCTCTAACCAGTTCAGAGTTATCGGGAAGTGTCACCAGGTCCTGTAACTAATTATGATGGATTAGAAACCTCTGGGCTTCCATCCAAACCAGGGCTGAGCACCTGTCCCAGTGTAGTCGGTCTCATTTCCTGCCCCCAGGCAGGACAGCTTGTTTTCTTCTGGCAAGCAGCTCTAGGGCTCAGTCTCTGAAGGGCTGACTCTATACCCAGTCACATGGGACATCACTGAGCTGGAGACAGAACTCCCAGATCACCCCCTTCCCGTGTCAGGCTCCTCTGCATTCCCCTCAGGTGCCTCCTTCTCACCCCTGCTGGGCTGGCAGGCAGTGGAACGAGAGGTATGCAGTGAAGCAGAACAGGCCCACGCTGAGACTGGCACAAGGGGTGTGTTGCGAAGCAGGCTGGCTAAGGACTGGGTCCTGAGCTGCCATCCTGCAGGCTAGAACTGGGGCACCCTGGGTTTCTGACATCTCCCCAAACACCAAGTGCCTGTTTCCTTCTGCCCACTGATGACCCCCCTTCCCCTAAGAAGGATGCGGTAGCAGGAAGGAGAGGACGCAGGAAGACAAAGGGAGGGAAGGGCGGAGGTTTTGGAGGAAGCCAAGAAGGGGGCCCCCCCGGTATGGAAAACTCCATGCGCTGAGAGGCAGCTGAGTGGGTCAGAGGAGACGGGAGGCATAAATCCGAGGGAAGGGCGGAGGTTTTGGAGGAAGCCAAGAAGGGGGCCCCCCCGGTGTGGAAAACTCCATGCGCTGAGAGGCAGCTGAGTGGGTCAGAGGAGACGGGAGGCATAAATCCCAGCCTGTCCCCTCAACTCTGCCCTTCCCTCCTCCAGTCACTGCTTTCTCCCAGGATTACAGGGCCATGGAAAGGCCACATCCTGAGCTGCCTACCACTGCTCAAGGACGTGGCTTCGGGGGAGGGGAAGAAGGAAGGGTGTGGAGTCTGGGCTGCTCAGTGGACAAAGGAGAACCCTACACCAGGCTGGAGGGTGGGAACAGGAGAGCACAAGGTGGGAAAGGACCACAAGTGACCACCCACCCTCTGTGCCCAGTGGTACCCGCCCCTCTCTCAACTCAGACACGGAGGTTCCCAAGCTGCAGACCAATTTTAGTTACACTCATCCCAAAGCACATGATCTGGAGCTAAAGGACAGGTCTCAGGAGGGTGGAGGATGAAGACCATAGAGGCCAGTGACAGGGGTGACAGGGAAGGGACAGTGAGGATGGATGGCCCTCTTCCAGTGTCTTCCAAGGGCTCCCACGTCTCCTTAGGCAGAGGAAGAGGTGCACTCTCCTTCAGGATTTGGACTTGGACACAGCAAGTCCAATGAGTCCAGCCAGTCCTGCCACACCCAGGGCCATGCCTCCGACGATGGCCATGCCCACCAGTCCATCTGGGGAAAGGAAAAGGGACACTGTCAGGAGCCCAGCCTCTGCAGGGACCCTGACCACCACCTCCTCCCTGGCCCTTCTCCTCAACAGAAATATGTGCACCTCTACCTGGAGTCACGGGATGAAGGACCCTGAGGGTTGGGGTTTGAGGAGGGACTGCTTGGTAGGGATTCATTTAAAGAGAGATCAAATGTCCCAGGCAAGGGGGAAAGAAGAGAACTTAACAAAAAGAGTTGAGGCCTTCACCTTTCTTCATGGCCTTGTCGATGAGCCGTTCCAGTTCCTTGGCCTGGTTGTTCTGGGGCTCTGTCTGCAGCAGCCCTCGCACATACTTTAGGGCCTTTTCATATTCCTACAATCAGGGAAAACACACGCACACATGTTATATACGAGGGTACTTCAAAAAGCTCATGGAAAACTAAATTAAAAGATAATACAGATCTTTCCATGATCTTTTTGAAGACCCCTCATATGCCTCAGTATTCTCACTCCTCTAGCCCAAATGAAGGGCCTCCCCTTCTCCAGCCCTGGGAGCTCCTCCCTCCACCTCCACCCCCTCCTTCACTCCAGCCCCACCCAGCAGAATAGAGTCCATAAACAACTCCAACTGTGTGGGGGTGATAAGCCGGGGCAGATAACAGCCCAAGGCCCGGGGCTGCACCCCAATATTGACGTCACCATGCTCCCACACCCTTGGTACCCTGATCCCCCTCTCACCTTCCCTCAGAGTCGTGACCTGCTCTCACTTTGCACCTCTGTACCTAATGCCACCCCCTGCTACTGCCCTTCTTCAGCCTTCCTGATGCCAGGGCTCTACCCTGGAGGAGAGAAATAAAAAGATACTCTGGCCCACCTATGCGGGGTGCAGTGGGAAGAAGGGAACCTCTTCTGCCTTACCTTCAGCCGGTAGTTCCCCACAGCCAGGTAGAAGACATAATCCCGTTGCTCGTCTTTGCTCCCTTTGGGTAGCAGCTCTTGGGGGTGGGGGGGGTAGGGGGGAGGAAAGAGAGTGAAAACTGCTTCTCCCTAATACCATGTCCCAGGGACCCATTCCGCTCTCTGAATCCCTCTATAAGCCCAGGAAAGTCACTGTTGTGAGCCTCTGCTTCCGCTCTGGTCACTCTCAGCTTCCCAGTCAGAGCTCTCAGGCAGCATGAACCCAGGCTGCCCCAACACCCCAGTGACAGAAATCTTGGTGTCAATAGCACAGTGAACTCTGGTTCATTCACATGAAATGATGGGAAATCAAGGCACTGGAGAAGTCACAAGGCAGCTTGACTCAGTTTTGGCATCTGCTGTGTTTTAACTACAGTTGCCTGCTGTCCAATTACTGTTAAAAATAAGTTTGCACTCCCTCCCCCTTTAAAAAAATCAACTCAAAACTCACCTTCAATTGGCCTTCCCTTAATGACCCCACCTGACTCTTTCTTAATTCAGTGACTTTCCTCCCAGAGGCTTATGTGGTCTATGCACTAGAATTTGTAACTAAGTAGTTTTGCAAGTGTTTATAAATTTATCCAAGTGTCTGCACTATCTCCTCAACTAGACTGGCAATGCTTAGCGAGACCACTTCTACAATTGTGCCCCACTGTAGAATAAACCTGAAAAATGTGATTGGCAAAATAGACAAATGTAGGGTGATATTATTTGCATTAAGAAAGATTCTTATTTTTATAGATTTACAATAGGCATCCTTTGCTAGTAGAATACTATTTGTTTATAAATGACTACCTGACCAAGAGAAAGAGGGTACAGAGAAGTTTAAAGGTCAAGTGTTGTGGCCTCTAAGAAGTGATGACGCATCCAACACCAATGGGAAACAGGGTTCTAATTCAAAAAGCACCATCTGCTCAGTTTTTTTTTAGGACAGTATTCTGCACCTTTTCCATGTCACCCTCGCAAAAGGTTCTCAATAGCTGCTGAACAAGCAACATGGTGGTGGGGGAAGGAGCACGGGACTGGGACTCACAAGACAGGAGATTCTAGTCCCAATTCAGCCATTAATTGATTAGTTGTGTGATCTCAGACACTTTTACTACCAGATCATGAGAGTTCTGTGGGAACTTCAATGCTATGATTCTGTTTGGCAAAACAGTGATGGGGTGGTAATCAGTCAAAACTACACTGGGAGAAGTCAGGCTAAGTAAAGCCGTTTGTTGCAGGGAATTTACTAGAAATAACTGTGGTGACTGTACTATAGGGTTCCTTGTTGAAAAAGGATCCCAGCACTTTAGATGGGGGACGAAGGAGGTGGCAGGTGAGGCCAGAAGCAAAAGAGAAGGACAGGCCAATGACAGACGCGAAGGGGAGAGTTGGGTAGTTCAACACCTCACCCTCGAGCAGTGTGATGCCTTTACGGATGTCGTCATTGTACTTGCTGCGCACCAGGCACCAGGCGTACTCAAACTGAGTGCTCTTAGACACCGAGCCTGCAGCCTTCTCAGACTGAAATTTCTTTTCAAATTTCTGCCATAGGAGAGGAGAGGAATCATTTAGAAATGTAGGGCGTCACCGTTCATCTGGACCTGGTCTCCACTTCCCGGTTACATTCCATACTCCTGTCTCTGCCCCATTTCCTTCGCGGTCTTGGTACCTGGCACTCCAGCTTCTGCTATCCCCCATCCCTGGGACCCAGGCATTCTGTTTCTCAGGGCTAGCGGGCTAGCTCTTTGGACAGAAGCCCCTCGTCTTCCCTCCCCCTAGTGGTACCGAGCGGAGATGCCACCTGCTGGCAGCTCCAGGCACGGCTCCCGAAGCAGCTGACCCCGAGCGGCTGA